ATTTGCTGGATTTCAATATTCTTAGATGGTGGGGTGTGTGATAGACTTACCTCCACGTGGTGCACCCTGGGCAACGAATACTCATACGGCAAAAAGAGTCTATAAACTGACAGTTGACTTCAAACTACTATGACCCCACTGTATGTCATTTTCGACTACTTTCACAGTACTCATTCCACATTTTTTCCACCTTATCTACCTTCGTCTTTGTTACACTCTACTTTCCCCCCCCCCTCTTGAATTTTTTAACACTTTGATGTTCCTTCCCCTCTGTGAAGACTGAAGTCAACTAAAGAGGTAATGATAACAATCAAAACGCCTGCCATTTGATATAATAATAATAATATTCATGAATAGTTTTATGAATCTCAACTCTCAGCTACCCGCCTTCTATCAAGCACTGTTTTCCAACCTCTGTTAATTCAAAATTCTCACATCATCTCCGTATTGCCCCGAGTAAAATAATTAAATCCAAACAATCTGTTTTCGGATCTTTATCTTCATCATGAGTGCGTTGGTGTTTGTATCAACTTCCTTCACCGTGGGTAAGAGCTTAAATCCAATACGGGCATCTTTATTGAATAAATTTCACGTCATGAACTTGAAGAGACGCCTTAGGGCATAACTAAAATATTTGCCAATTTAAACAATAAAGTGCAATCTTTTAAATAGTAAATTATAAACATGCACACTTGTTCATCATACTTTTTTATTGGGTGAATTAATTTTATTAGCCAAATGTATTAGTTGTCTCAAGTTAGTCACAGATGCTATTTCAGCCACCTACGTAGAAATCATGCGATATGAGTAAACCGCCATGTTAATATAACTATGATTAGCGCCAGATTGTTGTCTCTGCCAAAATATGTGAAGCAGTTTACACAGAATAGAATATATATGTCAGACTGCTTATTCCACATCGAGTTGAAAGAGATTTCGCTGAAAATTTGCACCTAGAATTGCTAAGCCATAAATCCCTAAGTAATTGTCATTTTCATCGATGTGTATTGGCATAAATTTTGTAAGCATAATAGATTAACCAATCTGCTATTTAGGCAACGCTGCGGTCCTTAATCTTCCAATAGCTATAATATTGGAAGGTTCTCTAGTCTTCTTATTATCAACTGTTAGTATGCGGTGGAAATAATAACAAATAAAACGAGTAACGATCTTCTAGAGTTTGTGAAAAATTTCAGATATTTTGCATCTATTTCTCATTCTTTATAATTGGTCATCTGTAAAAAGTACTTTTTACTAGATTAAAGAAAAGTATGGTCTCATTTTAAACTTGGCAATGATATTCGTCATAGAATATGGGCTCGACTGTGGATGGTCTAATTAATGTGACAGGTGAAATTAAAGCAGATGTCCAATTTGGCTCACTGAGGGTTCAAGTAAAAGTATATTAACGGTGGGGGAGGGGGGGGGGGGGGGGGGGGGGGAGGTCAATCCATGAGCAAATCTCTCAACCAAAATTTTGAAACCACCAGCGCTATTTGATGACTGATTAGTTTATTACTAATTATCAATTGTCTGCGATTATCTACACTTATATCAAATGACAGGCTTTATGCTAGTCATCATCAGCCCTATAGTTGACTTGGAGCTTCACGGAGGGGAGGAACAAAAATGAAGAGTGAGAACCGAAAAGTAATTCAATGATGTAAAGAGACAGACAGACACAAAGGTAGAGAAAAGGTAAGGTGAGTACTGTGTGAAAAGTAGTAGTCGAATATGACATAGTCAGGTGACGGTAGTTTTAAGTCAACGGCCGGTTTCTTGACTTTTTGCCTTATGAGTATACGTTGCCCAGGGTGCACCACGTGGAGGTAAGTTTATCTCGCTCACCTTATACACCGACATTTTTTGTATTATTTCAAATGGCAGGCTTTATGATATTTATCATGGGATGTGCGATAGACTTACCTTCAAGTGGTGCACCCTGGGCAACGAACACTCATAAGGCAAAAAGTCTATAAACCGGCCGCTAACTTTCCACTTCAAACTATCATGACCCCACCGTATGCCACATTTTATCCCATTCACAGTACTCACCTTACCTAACCTTTTTTCTTCCTTTGTGTCTGCCTGTCTCTTTTACATCTGTAAATCACTCTTTTATTCACCCTCTCAACTTTTCTCTCTTTGGCGTTACTCTCCTCTGTGAAGCCCGAAGTCAGCAAAAGGGTTAATGATAACTATCAAAGCGCCTGCCATTTGATATAGCTAAATGAATGGTATATATCATTAACCCCATAGTTGATTTCGGCTTTCACAAGAGGGAAGGAACATATGTGGACTTTAGGATAGTTAAAAGTAGGTCATTAGCTGACTTCCGGCTTCCCAGGATCTCTGAGTTTCTTTCGATGTATTTAGAGCTGGACACCGAATCAGGTGGGTCTTCACCATTTTCTCCTGTAGGTCACATAGGGGGCATGTGGGTTGAGTGTATACTCTCAATCTGTGAAGGTGTTTTGATAGGCAATCGTGTTCGGTACGTAGTCTAAACTCATCAACGGCTTCGGTTCTTGGCCAATCAGATATGTCGGAGAGTGCCACTGTCCACGGCTTTTCCTTGGTTCGAGTTTTAAGTTCACTGCTTCTTGAAGTCATGAATTCTCTCCTGTTCAAGGTCTTCAAATTATTGAGGTCAAATTTCAAGTAATTTTGATAAAGTTGATTATAAATTGTAAATATGGACATCTCTGTTAATAACTACGCAATACTGATTGAAAATTGATGAAATTTCAGTTATTTGTTAATATTTAGATTCCATCTGCTACTAAATTATATCGAATATTTAACATGATCTAAACGTATAGAAAGTCGAATTTCACTAACTAAACTTTGAGGTTTACAATATCGCCCTATGATAAGGGAAATTTGGGTAAAAAACGACCAAACATGAAAGTGCAAAGGTCTAACAAAGTATTACTTATTGTTGATACCGACTAAAGATGATAACACTTGTAATTTCTATTTAAAACGCAATTATCCATTTCGAAATGAATTTTGATCTATTCTTAATGATTTGGAAGGCTTAGTGAAAAACCAAATCTCGTAGATCTGTAATGGATGACCTTGACTCTTAGATTTAGATTTATGGGACACATTATCAATGACCAAATAGAAATCCAGCTATAGAACACTACACAGAGATATTTAGCTATTAATGTTCACTCGAATTATGCTAGATTTATCTGATAACTAATCGTTTTGCCAAAATCTCAATTTGCTATCAATATACGTACTCAAATTAGCGTATTCCGTGCTACACGTCTGTTTCCCTTATAGCTGGGCTATAGCTTAGCTTGTTCTGGG